ATCTTCACAATATAACCTTTCGAACGGGGGGTCAAGTGCCGTCAAAACATTACACAAACCGAAACAATCATATATTTTTGCTCACGGCTTCGCCAAACATTCAAACGGGAAAAAGATAAAAAGTTGAATATATTCTAAAATTTGGCGTCATTTTCTAAAAGGATATATGTGCAAAATACTCTTTGTATTCAAGCGCTTTAGTGTAGAAAGTTTCGTATGAATACGGCGAGTAGAAATATTTATTTTGAATTTTTCAAGGTATCGGGTTTTACTCGCACGCGCTTGTATTACGTAATACTTGGCCAATAAGGAGCTCCCTTTAGCCGGGATGACGTCAAACTCACGCGTATGGGTGCACTTTGACCTGTAGAATCCATTTCTGGCATTTCCAGAGTCACGCGATACAAACTACGCATTGTTTTGACGGTTTTTCATCGTATTTCCGGTTGGGATTAACGCAAATTCGGGGCAGAAATGCAAAATTCGGCAAGAAAACTCGTATTTTAAAGATAGAAGCTTGAAAATAACAGTATACATGTTATTTTTAACTGCTTCATTCAGCAAGACTACCAGAATGAGCATACATCTCAAGGGGCCGAAGTTATGTGCGGCGAAAGGTATGTCTATGTTTATAATTTGTTAGTAATATTGTGTAATTTGATCAAATACCAAGCTCGCTTGACTTTCAAAGCTCATAATGCGCGAATCAAATCGAAACCTTGACATCCCCCCCCCGGGCATACCTGGGGAATTTGCTTGTTTAGTATTTTAAGAAGGCGGGAATTTGACCCGTTTTTTCTAGTGGAAGGTGGGGAATTTGAAGGGGGTCGGGAATTTGAATTTTTCTTTTAAACACGTGTGCAGAATCCAAAATGGCGTCAATAATTAATGGATGAGTTCAAGGTCTTCAAGTGCAAAGGAATTAACTTTGTTCTTGGTTGGCTACAAGAAAACGGCTTTGAACGATTGAAGAGAGTTTTTGAAGGAAAGAAAAACTTTGA